AATTCGATAACTCGGTCGCTGTACGTCGAATCAAGGCAAAGGTTCGATGGGATCGGTAAATAATAAAATTCGAAAAGATTTGAGAGAAATATCTTGCGAATGTTAACACTGGTTTGATGCGTATTTATTTCTTGCTTCGAAACGGGAATTATGTCTATACGTGAATTAATTCTATGATACACGCGATTCGGAAGAAAAATGAGCTCAAGTTGCACCGAATGCAAATTTTAAATTAGTATAAAACGTCAAGTAACATTCTTTTTTATTATGAAACGATACGCTTACTCGTAGGTAATTTTTAAGAATGGGAAAACAACTTTAACCGTTACGAAAGATAACAGCACTCTAGAATTTCTGTTTGTATTTATTTAAAATATAGCGGGAACGACTGAACCGATAGCGTTCAAATTTTCACGAAAGCTTCGAAACTTTGTTTTTTAGTCTTTAGTCGAAGGTTTTCTCAGACCAATCAATATTATTCGTTTTACAAACGATCTAAGACGAAATATTTTGGTCGAAAATGAAAAGTTTTGTTTGGAGAAACTGCCGTCTTCGATATGCTGGAATCGTTGGACTATATTTATATAATGCAGTCATAATCAAAATGGCAATTTAAAAAACGATCACAGTTAATAAAGCAACCCAAACTTCAACAAAAATATGTAAAATAGAGAAATTGCAAATAATATATTTATAAATGATCTTTCTGCGTCTACTTCAATGTTAGGTAACAAGCAATTATATTTTTAATCATCTAATCAAGAAATGAAATATTATATATTTATTATACCCGTTGAAGACAAATTTCAACTGATATCAACCTTTAATTCCATTTAAAATCAACTTTCAATAGAAACTAAATTCAATTGCCAATACAAAATTGAGGATTAATCGTCAATTAAATTAAATTGTGCCCCAAAAATTCCACGTAAAGAAGAACGTAATACTCAATAATTGCCAAACGTAGTTTAAAAAACATGATCATAGGTATTTTTGCTTGGCGTGGCGAATTATCGAAATTTTACCGTACAACTCCTTAATTGTTCCATTATTCATCACAGAAAAATGTGCGATGTAAAAATTGCAAGGCAACCGAAGCTTAATGTTACTTGACGTGGTTTCACGCGTTCGAAAAAGACGGTACTTCGAATGCGCCAATCCGAGTAATTAGTGGACGAAAAAAAGGCCGCGGCAAAGGTCTTCGAACTTAATCTCATTCATTACGAGGAATTTCCCGCCCATTGTTTCGTCGCTTTCGTATTCAACGTTTCACGGCGATCTGGTTATCGAGGCAGCCAGCTGATTAATCAGTAGAGACACGTTTTCTCGTGTATCGTAGCCAACGGACGTTGCGAGATCGCAACGCGAACGCCCCGGGACGAAAGCGGTGCGACGAGTTTTTCAATGGAAAGCTTTCGATGCCGTCCGCTACCGTTACATCGATTTCGTACAATGGCTAGATCTCGCAGTTCTAGGGAAGTTCGCGGTAAGAAGGCCACCGATCTCGGTATCGGGCACGATATGTTTATTCCATCGTTGCGCGTATCGCGAACGCGTACCGAGCGATTTCGTCGAGGACGAAAGACGAGGCAACGCGAATATGAGAAAACGCTGCGATACAGGCTGCTCCAAAATCTGCGCCACCGTACGATAACGAGATAATCATTTTCCTCGTAAGAATGGCAACATCGTTCTACAATTTCCTGATAATAAAAATTCTCTCGCTTTTAACACTCCGAATTCCTAATTAGAAATTTGTCAACTATAATATGTAGAAGATTATACTGTGCCTCTATGATTAATCGTTTATAGACTACGGATGTTTATGCATTTATGGGAAATGGAAACATGAGGAAATCTCGGAGAACGTACGCAAATGCGATATTATATAAAATATCAGCAATAATATAGACGTTACACAATTTCGAAGATAAAACGTACTTGCATCTTGAGTTTCAATTTTTTGTCTGCAACATTCGCGGGCCATTTACTATTCTAGTTTAAACAGATATACTTACTCGTTTTAAAACGTTAAAGTACCAACCTATTAAGTCCTAAACCTGATTGCAATACGTGGTATTTAAAGGATACGGATACCCTCAGTCTCAACCTGATGGCCATTAAACTATAGCCATACGAACTTTAGTAGTCATGAAATGTTGATTATTATTATGTAGTATACATAGTATACATAATATACATACTATACATATACTATACATAATGTACATACAATACATATACTATATATATAGTATATATAAGCATATATATATATATATATATATATATATATATATATATATACTATACATAATATACATACATAGTATACATATATATACTATACATAATGTACATACAATACATATACTATATATATATACTATACATAATATACATACACAGTATACATATACAGTAATTATAATTATCAAGTACACTTGTAGTTGTTAAAAGAACAACAATAAGGAAAACTGTTTGGCTAAATAGATACACGCTAATGGCCATTAAATTATGACTTAGGTTATGTACCTATATACAGGGTGTTTCGTTTAAATCGAAACGGATAAATATCTCATGAAGGGATGAAGCTATCAAAAAAATGTATCTACAAAAGTTATTTGGTTCAAGTGGACTAATTATACGGTGTACATACTTGCGTTGTGAATAAAATAGAGAGATTTGAAAAATAAATAAATGTTTTTAAGTAGAACCTCATATTTTGTTATCCATAACATAATGGCACTTGTTTAGACAAATTAATCGACCTATAATACATGGTCATTTATTGTAATATATAGTCTTAAATTGGAGTTGGAAATCGGTAGATCTAACGCAGACCACCCGGTTGGTCGAACAAGGACGGAAGGTGGAACGAAAGAAAGAAGATGGTCTATCTTTTTTCGACCAACTGGCGGGGAAATACAATTTTCTCAAACGCAAACTATGGACGCAGAATTATTGAGCCGGTTTATTTGGAATTTCTAGATTCGAAGCAACATAACTCGGAGCAGTTTACAAAGAATGTACGAATGTTATTTATTCTAGTGTTTACATTAAAAAAAAACGACTTTGAAAATACACGGGTTATGCGAGTATTTGTCCAAACACCCGATTCGATGAATTTTACTCTGAATATCAGTTGTGTTTGCACGATGTAAAATGTAGATTAAATTATTATTTTTTGAATGTGTAGAGTAACATATGTAGAAAAAGGAAGGATTAATTTCATCATTTATAAGATAGAAATTTACTTAAGAAGTATTAACACTTTACCGACCGGTAGCCTATTAATTGTCTCTTTTCCATGGCAAATAATACTTTTTTACTTATTTTTATACTTATAATAATATTAGTATTAAGTATTATATACTTATAATAATACTTTTATACTTTTTTTTTACTTATTTTATATATATATAAAATATAATGTAACAGTAGTTATGAAAATAAACATTATTGAATTTAAGTACATACATGTCGAAACGCTACCGGTCGGTAAAGTGTTAAGCGTCGAAGATAGAAATTTATACCTAATCTTTAGGGAAACTAGCTGAATAGATTTTTATCTCCAAAATGATCAATCAAAGTTCCATAACGGTCGGTCTTCGTAAAGTTAAACGAGCCGCCCACTACTTGCACCGATCATCAAAACCTACATAACCCACACTTGCCAATGATCAAATCTAAAAAGCAGATTGTCCATCGCGCTATATATTTAGGTTGTCCCAAATATTTCTTTCGCTTTATTAACAAGTAATACATGCACAATATTTTATGTTTTATGTTACATTACTGAATTGTCCACGATTCATGTTGCTCCATTACTCTTACAACATGAATATCTAGGAAATTAGATTGTTTATTTATATTGGATTGTCCGGAAAGTTCGTGCCGTTTTTTGGTAGGTGACGTTAGAACAGGTCTGAATATATCAGAATGGACAGAATATTCAAATTGTCTGGAAGATGGAAAAAGGTGGTAGATCAAAATTGCACCTATATAACCTAATAAATTTGTACTACAATTTAAATATTTTGCGTTCCAATTTTCCTTCGAAAACGGCACGAACTTGCCGGACAACCCAATACGTGGTATCTAAACAATACCGATATCCTAAGTCTCAACCTGATGGCCATTAAACTATAGCCATACGAACTTCAGTAGTCATGAAATGTTGATTATTATGTAGTATACATAATATACATATACTATATATATACTATACATAATATACATATACCACATATATACTATACATAATATACATATACTACATATATACTATACATAATATACATATACTATATATATACTATACATAATATACATATACTATATATATACTATACATAATATACATATACTATACATAATATACTATACATACTATACATATACTATACATACTATACATAATATACATATACTATACATATATATATATACTATATATACTATACATAGTATACATATACAGTATACATAAACACGACCACATAAAATAATTGAGTGAAACTCGCGAAAGAAACTTTCGGGAGAACCTAATAGTTTCGAACAGCAGTATCCTATCATAACTTTTTTCAAGCATGAGCCCGATACCGAGATACACGTGCCGAGACTCGCCAGAACTCCTTGATCGAACTTCCGTTTTTGAAATCAATTACCGAAACAACGTTGGTTCGCGCTAAAACTGTGTTCGACTTTTCGTTCCGTTCGCTCAAGAATCACGAGCGATCGGGTGGTTTCTTTTGGACGACCCTGTATAATACGAGCGCGCGTGCGAGAGCGAGTCGCGCACAGGTTAGAAAAAGACGGTGATCGCGCGAGAGGATAGAAAGAGGAGAGGGGAAAAAGATGGAGGAAACCGCCCTCTCCATCTCTCTCTCTGTCGTTTCTCGGCATTCAACCGGCGAGTTAGGCCTATGTGCAGACAAGCGTACACGCTCGAAAGGCGCTATATCGGGCGGTGGTGCGGTGTGCGTGCGTGTACTTACGTGCGAGCATGCGATGATCGTAGTGGCAAACGCTATCCTCTATGGTAGCGGAGCATGCTGGTCCCCGTAAGCGCACTGAGAGATGCCGTGTCGTTCGTCCTCCAGCGATACCGCGAAGGAGACGCGAGCTATCGCGAGCGTTCGTGCACCGTAAACTCGGTGCTCCGTGTTCCCTGTTGTGAACGCGAGGTGCGGGGTGTCTAGGCAACAACTACCACGTCGCGTGTTGGATGTGCAGCCGATTTCGCGAGGCGCGAGCGGTTTCCGTGGCATTCGGGCACGGGGCTCCACCGACGCGGGATTTACTTTCACCTTTTCGCCAGACTCCGGAAGAACGCCAGGGCCTGGCCGCACGGGATTCGCGATGGGAAAATAAAAAAAGAAAACACAGAGAAACGAACCCGACACGACGAGGAAGAGTGCGATACGACGAACCGTACGAAGGCGCCACGGAACACGGCGCGGCGTTTTCTGGAACTATGCCGCGGAAATGAACGACATCGTACGTCGAACGATTCACGGACAACAACACCGGCCAGAACGGCGACTCACGCCAAACTAAACCGAAACCCCGAGTGGGATATGCCCTTTCCCCTCCCGCCCCACCCTTCACCCGTCCCTACGTCCCTTTACCGCGCGCCCCTTTTGCGCTCCACGTTCACCCCCTCCATCGTCTCTTTCTCTCCTGTCCTCCAGGCTCTACGCGCTCCTCGCTACGCCTGCCGTTTCGTTTCGCTCCTCTCTTTTCCCCTTTTCGATCGCTCTCGCTCTCCGTCTCTCTCTCCCCCTCCCTCTCTCGCTCTCTCTCTCTCTCTCTCTCTCCCTTGCCCGTAATACTCTCTCCTGCCCCTTCGAGGCTCGTATCTGCGCCCGGCTGTTCGCCTACCTAGCCTGCCTAGCCTGTCAACCTGGCTCGCTCGACTTGCCTGCGCTGCTTGCTTGCCTGTGCCGAGTCGTTTTTCTCTCCACTCCTCTAACCTAGCTTCTAGATAACCCTCCTCCCTCCGCCGCGAATGGTACGTACCGACACTACATAGCAAATACACCAGCGTGAGCTCACCAACGAACCCGACTGCTCTTCCCCTTCGCCCCAAACGACGAACGCCGGCGTTACCGGCCGGGTTAGGAGCTCCCCCCTATTCCATGCTCCGATACCTAACCCTTCTCGTTACCTACCCCACTCTCCTCTTATCGTTCCGCCGCTCTCTCTTTCCGTACATCTCCGACTCTCTTTTCGTCTCCGCGGACGCAGAAACGAATCCCCCTAACTGGTCGATCCATCGCCTCCTTCGCCCTCGGTTCGATATTTTTCTCCGATCGGTTTCTCCTCGCACGGAACCTCGAATTATATAGCGAGATTGAAAACGGAAATCGGCGCTCTGAAACGCGGTCAGATGGATTTCCGCGTGTGCACGAATAAACGCGCGACAAACCCGTTTACGTTTGGAAAACCTGTGCCGGTTGGTGTCCTCCTGCCGCTGCAGGACGTACGAATGGACGTCCAACCGGCGGATAAAACCAGCTAGATTATGGGGAAACCGTCGGACTTTTATTACGGAATGGTAATTTCGCGTGCTGCACGGCTTGGTATAAGTAGAGGTTTGTTTTTTAAATGCATTACCAGCCTTCTTGTCTGTTTGGATCCTGTATTGAATTTTATTGCAGGACGTCAGTTTTCGATTCGGTGGAGAGTGTTTTATAGTCGACCGGGGAACCTTCCCTTCCAGCGGGTTCCTTAGCCACGCCGCTAATGGGAAAACAAACGAAAGGAAAATGAAGGGCCAAGCGTTGCGGCGCGACAGAGGTCTCGTTAGCCTGTTGCGACCACTTTTTATTGAATTTTCTGCTGACCCTTTAATGTACTCGCCATGTGTACGGTTGAGATGCTGCGCGATCCCAGCAAACACTGCTTTCCGTTTATGAGTTCTTGGTGAATAGGTTTACAAGTTTATGTCGAATCGTAAACGCTTACATACGGCTTTCTTCGTCGCGTTCAGAATGCATCGACGAACAACCCTACACTTTTTATCTACGTACAGGGTGCCCCCAGGTTATCCGGCAAATCGAGTCAACCTGTTTTATAAGCAGAAATGAGGAAAATTGTTTCGTGGACGAAGGTCCGTAAACGGTTCATTAAAATCTTATAACAAAAGTCTGAAATATGAAGGAAATAACAAGGGATCTCACACGGGATGCTTCAATCGTTCAATATTAAGCGCAAATCTTTCAAAATTTATTTACTGCTTTCGTTGAAATTTATAATTGAATAGAAAGAGTGAGTTCGATTGGACAGGTTGGAATTTTAATATGGAAACGTACTTTTAATGAACAGGTGAATACGTGTATTTAATTTGTTATTATTGTCGTTATTAATAGGAAACGTTTTATCGCGAAATTTATACATAGATAATCACTTTTCGTGTGCTTTGCTGTAACATCCCTTAAAAACATTAAGGAACGATTACAGGAGTGCTACAAAGTTAAACAAAAAACGCAAAGTATGGGTGGTAGAGAATCATAAATAATTAGGAAGTTTAAAAGTATCAAAAATATTACTGATATGTAAATAGGAAAGTACGGATCTGAGGTATAATTCTTGCAGGAGTACAAATTATTCAACATTACTACCTGCATTCTGCCGACAATAAAACTAGACCACCAGGAGACTTTCTGTGGAAACTTGCAGGTATTCCAAGACTGGGTGGTTTGTATAATAAAACACTCTAGAATGATTGACAAAGCCATAAGGTTGTAAATAGGGAAGGCTGTAAAACAGTTCAATTCGCTGAACCTCGTTCTTTGCAAGTTCATTATATTTCAGTTTGGTATGGCGAATGGAAACGTTAAATGAATAAATACAAGAAATGAGCAATAATTGTAAGTTATTCCAATCGTAGCTCCAGTATTTAATAATCAATAGTAATTACATCACCTACAAACGTTATTCTACACCGTATTTTACGGATTATAAGACATACCTTAATTTTTAAGCAATTAAAAAAAAAATAACATTTTTATTATTAGATTGCCTCTATATGGCGATTCTTAAGACTGGCGGGAATTGTAAATCAAACACATTTTTATATTAATTTCGAGTATAAGATGCATTTTGGAGACAATTTTTCGAAGAAAAAAGTGCGTCTTATAATCCGTAAAAATACGGTACTTTGTATACAGACAGATCTATTATCTATAAATAGATGATTGATCTTTAGGTAATCTGGAGTAACCTGTGGAGTAACATAGCACATTCTCCATTTTGGAGTAAAAATACTCGTATAAAGCGATATATGAAGAATAAGTAATATGAGACATGATAAATTTCCTAGTTTTAACAAACTTTGAATGAACATTATCGTAGCTAGGGCCAGATTTAGTTTGAATATTATCAAAACAGGTATAAATTATCGATATGTATTGACATACGACGCAAACTATATTTTTCTTGAGATCATTGGAAACGATCAATGTAACATCACCTAATATACTCTTCAAAATATCAACCGGTATTATCAATAACAGACTTGAACAATTCTATTTCGTATTTTGATTATAACTTTTGAGTGTAGCATTCATGAACCTTTATTTGTAGCATTTACTCTAATGAATTGATTACAACCTATATGTAATTCTATTTATTTCTACAAATTAATTACTGTAACATTTGTTTTCTATTGATACTAAAAGAACAAACTGACATTTTTAAAAATGCAGCGATTAACACATGACATAATTACTTTCATACGATTTTTTCCGTGTTACAGTATCGCATGCCCTACAACAAATTTTGAAGCGGACGAATCCTACCGTTGGAAAAGTATGAAAACTGTAGAAAAAACTAAATGTTACTTTCCGTATCAATTACCCCGAGTTTGAAAATGAAAATCTCAGCGACTCAACGATTTCCCCCACTAGCCGAACAAGATTTCGGGCGTATAGATTACTGCCACATACCTTTAAACATTATTCCACGATTTCCCGATAATAAAAATTCTCTCGCTTTTAACACTCCGAATTCCTAATTAGAAATTTGCCAACTATATTATGTAGAAATTTATACTGTGCCTCTATGATCAATCGTTTATAGACTACGGATGTTTATGCATTTATGGGAAATGGAAACACGAGGAAATCTGGGAGAACGTGCGCAAATGCGATATTATATAAAATATCAGCAATAATATAGACGTTACACAATTTCGAAGATAAAACGTACTTGCATCTTGAGTTTCAATTTTTTTTTCTGCAACATTCGCGGGCTATTTACAATTCTAGTTTAAACAGATACACTTACTCGTTTTGATACGTTACAAGAAGTAACGAAGTTTTAGAAGTACCAACCTATTAAGTCCTAAAACTGATTGCAATACGTCTATGGTATCCAAAGAATACCGATACCCTAAGTCTCAACCTGATGGTGTATAGATTACTGCCACATACCTACATAAGAGATTAGTGCCCGACATGTTCACCACCCCGAGTTACAGTCCAGTGAACGCGCATTTAATGGGCGTGGCGATCGTACCGAAATTTTTCAACCACCCTAAATACCTGCCCTTGTATCGCAGAAGCCCGGGTCCCCTGAAGTGCCAATTAGTACAAACATCGGAGCTTCCGCCTAGCGTTAGTCATCGAATGACCGCGCGAGTCATTCGATATTTCCAAAAAGAGTGAGGTTATTATTCGAACGAGGTTATTAGGGCCGTCGTAGACCCGCATCGAGCCATGGATAGGTCCGCGGTGAAGACGATGAATCGAAAAAAGAACAAGTTTAACGCGTTCATTACTACACTGATTCACATGAAAATGTGTACAAGACTAAAATTTTGTCTCGAGACTATTGGGAATTATAGAATCTATCATTTGTCGTATTACCAAATTTTATATCCCTGTACAAATTTACGAATTCTATCTATTAGGTTGTCCCGAAACACTCAATTATTTGATGTGGTCGTGTTTATATAAATAGACAATCTAATTTCCTAGATGTTCATGTTGTAACAGTAATGGAGCAAAATGAATCGTGCACAATTCAGTAATTTAATATAAAACATAAACTATTGTGCGTGTATTACTTATTGATAAAGCGAAAGAAACTTTTGGGACAACCTAATAGATTCGTTTTCATTAACACTCAGTCCTTAAAATTAATTTTTGAAGTTTCTCAGTGAAAAGCTCTGTCACCCATATATGTGTGACGTGGCGTTCAACGTGTTAAAGGTTACCTGAAATACAGTGATGGGCAAAACCCTAGACTTCGACTAAATCTGAAGTTTGCCGATGTGTTTCTCTCGTTTCCTTCTTTGGAAAATGTTCTAAAGAGGAAACGAGACAAACACATCGGCAAACTTCAGAATTATTCGAAGCCTAGGGTTTTGCCTATCACTGCGTGAAATATGAATCAGTTTACGACTCCGAATGTAATAATCTACAAGCTAATATCCACGTTTACGATCAGATTGCATTAGGTTGTCCAGAAAGTTCGTGCGAATTTCTAAGAAACATTCAAAAACACGTTTGAATTTTAATATATATTTATTGAATTACATAGGTGCCATTTTGTTCCTATCCACAACCTTTCCATCTTTTAAGGGATGTATGCATGTTATCTGCTATCAACTACTTCGATATATTCAGACCTGTACCACCTATCAAACATCGGCACGGACTTTCCGGACAACCCAATACTTACACATCTCTGCGAGTTTTACTTTTAACACGAAAAACAGTTTGTCCGCCAGGTACACAGGATACCGGACATTGTTAGCATGCACCTATTGTTCTGTTCCTGACGGTAACGCGGACCTTTGACCCAACGCGACGAGGCTTCCTCTGCCTTAGCCGCCATTTTGATTGCTGCCGAAAAACAGGTCAGATACGTCAACCTGTCTATCTAATCTAGAATGTCACGGCATTACGTAACGGTTAATCAGACATTCTGGTATCGTGTGCGAGCGTTGTTAAAACGCTTGTCTAGAACACAGAAGTTCCTTTCATTCGGCTTTTTCCGTGCGCTTTTATCTCGCAGCTTTCCACTCGGTTCACCAATCGAAGCGATCGCTCGTATTGCTTTGTATCGGAAGAGTGCAACGCGGAAATGTACAAGTTATCAACAGAGAGGTGTAAAATATAATTTACCCAAGGATAATACACGATTTCTCGTCCAAAGAGATCAAACAATGGATGCTCGGTAGAATTCTAGAATAGTACCTTGCTTGTTCGAATAACGGCTTGCGACTACTTTCTTTCGAGTCGTTTTTTCCTCGATAAACTACACAATTCGTCGAACACGACGCGCAGTTAACACTTTATTCACCGGGAGCCTATTTTTAGGCTTTTCAATTGCAGTATTTAGCTATTCGAATTTATTTACTGTGTTGATGGTGTCTCCTTACAACGTACTCCTTACAAATCTCCTTACAATGTTTGGAAACAGACTTGGCTTTCAATGTACCTAGTATTAGGTTGTCCCAAAAGTTTCTTTCGTGAGTTGCATTCAATTATTTTCTGTGCCAGTGTTTCTATAAATAGACAATCTAATTTCTTAGACATTGATGCTGTAACAGTAATGGAGCGAAATAAATTGTACACAATTTTGTAATGTAACATAAAACGTAAAATATTGTGTATGAATTAATTATTAATAAAACGAAAGAAACTTTTCGGACAACCTAGTAACAGTATGAAGAAATTATTGTCAGCCTAGATTGGCATATGATACCGTAGAAAATTCATTTTTGAATTAAAGTCTGTTTCTAAATAGCCCGGTAGATAAGGTGTTAAAGAACATATAAATGATTACAGGAGCGTGTAACCGTGGCGGTAGACGAATTGCGTTATCATTCCCGTATCCGAGTATCCGTACGCGAGTCTTCGTGTGCAAGTACAGCGTACAGATCTCCGCAACGTGCACCCGTTCGCTATTTGCGCGTACGGCGCGCTTGCGCTGTCGAATAATCTTTCAATCCACTGACGCTTTCGTCTCACCGGGGACACGTAGTCTTGACGATCCTCGAGGCTATTATTAGAAAACTGGCGCAATTGGCGTTGGTCAGGCGTGAAACGACGTTTAAAAAGAGCACGATCCTACGAGTGCAATGTCCGCGACACTCTCGGATACGGTTCGATTTCCTGTCCTCGGAAACAGGTATCAACCGATGCCGTTGCAGACGCGTGAACGATATCGCACGACTGTCGAATACGTCCGCCTACGATGCAGTTCTTCGTAAAGAACGCGAGCCAGAGTTCACCGGAACGCGATGCACGAAGCAAGTTTCTGGAATTTAGGGGAATGCATCGGTGAGGACCAAAATGGCGGGCCTGCCTCGTCGAAGGGCGACCGTCGACGATCACGGTTCACGATGCTACGAAACCCGGAGTCGATTAATTGCGGGGAACGAATGCAAATGCGAAGCGTTTGAACGATACAAGTATTATTGTTGCGAATCGAACGCGTAGCGACTATACGCATAATTAATCTCTGTCGTGGAGAATAACGCGTTTACGTCCATGCACACCGCGATTACTGACGAGATTTTATCCACGGATGAAAAATCCATCTGGATGCTGCATCAGTGTTATTGAATTTGCCGCGTAGTCAATTCGAATCCCGGAAAGGGAGTATCCGAAAAACGGCAGAGATCTCTATGACAAAAAGGTGTTGATCGATGTTTCCGATGTAGGTAGTACGCGAAATGCAGTAGATATCAACAGTCTACCTATCAGACATCTATTCGTGATAGGCTTTTTAATTGCAGCGCATTCATATCGGTGCCCGTCAACCGCGGTTCCCGTTACTTGCAATAATGATTTCGAGAAAATAAGGATCTTAACGTACCAACGGTGTGCACGATTTGGTGTTAGACCAGATT